GGGTCGAGCAGCGCCTCCATGTGGTCGGCGTCGAGATGCACGGAGCGCGCGGCCGCTGCCGAGCTGCGGTTGAGCACCGACCCATTCTTGTAGTCGACAATGTTGAGGAGGATGCCAGCGACCGACCCGAGCGCGCCAAAGGCCACAAAGAGCATTTCGACGCTGGGAAGGTACTTGTTTTCGACGCTGTAGACCATCGCGACCAGCATCGGAAAGAGCGCAAGACCCAAGTTCTACATAGCGTCTTCTAGACAACTTGTCCATCATGCTGTAGACTGTACCTGGATCGACGTGATGGCGCCGTACGCACTGCCCACCAAGCGCGCATCGACGACATCTACACCAACATTGTCATGCGTCGCATCTCGCATCAAGAGGAAGGACGTACACGGAATCGACGGCCAGAGCGCAGCAGCAAACACGCAGTATGCGACGCCTTGCAGCACCAAGGGAACCCAGTAGGTCACATGCGTCGTGCCAAGCAGCAGATGCACGACTGTCAGCAAGACGGACGAGAGAAGCGCGAGACCGGCGCGGAACCCGACGCGGTCGACTGCGTAGCCCATGACCGGCGAGAGGACGGCTGAGATGAGGTACGGGACACTCATTGGCGTGGCAGCAGCGGCGGCTGCAGCGCTCTTGCGGCTGCAGTAAACCGCGGAGAACGGCCCCTTCTTCCATGCGTCGTCGTCGCAGTTGATCATGGCTTCGGTCACGTACGGTGCTGTGTGCGCGCAGTGCAGCTGGTCCTCGGGCGACTGAATCGAGCAGTTGCGGTTGAGGGCCGGAAGCGGCCAGCTGAACGGTGGCACGGGCGGGCAGGTCGGTGCGATGACCGAGCAGTTGGTGTCGCCGGCATACGCGCCCTCGCCGCACTGCTGGCACGCGGGCGGCGGCTGGCGGAAGAAGTCACGTTCCATGAGCAGACTGCTGGCAACGTTGTTGAATGGAATGACGCAGCCGTAGACGACCATACATGCAATCGCCAAAAGCCAAAAGATGGGCCTAGGAGATTGCGATATAGCAAGATAGGACATGAGAGTATCGAGGTACCGAAAACTGCGAATGTCGCGGCAGCTAAACCCTTGGTCTTTGGCCACGGGCGCGGATGCCCCAAACGACTTGGTGCGCGCGATCGCCGCGTCCGCACGCTTGTCAATCGGGATCAAGATGAGGGCCGCGATGAGCGACACGCCGCACATGACAACGCCCATCCAAAGCGCGCTCGAGACGTTGTACTCGGACGCAATTACAGGGCTGAGTTCGTTGTTGAAGACGCTGCCAAGCCGCGCAATGCTGAGGTTGATGCCGAGCGCCAGCGCTACGCAGATTGTCAATTCGTCTTGCCAAAGCAACTGTCAATGCGTACCGAGCTCCTTGTTCTTGAACCACGATGCGACAAGCGTGCTCTGGGCAACGCCCAAGCTTTCGCCGCCGAGGCCAAAGAGGATACGGCCAAGCTAATGATGGGATCGATGAGAAAGGCCACGCTAGCGGCGTACCAGCATGACGTTGAACTGCGAGATCGAGCAGCCGAATGCAAAGACGATTTGCCCGAGTGTGATGGTCGTGGCAAACTACCGTGTCATCACGAGGGCGGAGAAGTGGCGACGAGGATGTACCATCAAGAGGCAGAGGCGCGCGCCAAGCCGATCGACGAGGAAGCCGCCAAAAAACGGCAAGATGATGTTGGGGATCGAGTAGAGCGTGTAGAGCATGTTCTACGGAGCGCGCATGAGCATACATCGCTTGGATCGGCGCGTACAAAGAGAAACTCGAAGCGGTCGGGCGGAAAGGCGCCGTTGAAGCGCTGCTGCAGCTGGCTCTTGAGCGCAGCGGGGTTGTCAAAGCAGTAGTAGTTGCCGATCATGAGCGTGCACGAGAGCACGAGCACGAGCCAGCGCATCGGGAGTTGGCTCTTCTCCAGCATCGTGGCCGCACGATCCCGCGAGAACAAAGAATGAAGGAATCTTTTGTCGCATCAGATTTTGGCCAATGGCATCGCCGCAAGTGGCAGATCACCTTTGGATTGGTCAAAAAAGAATCTTGGTCACTTTGCTGTTTGAACAAGCAGCTGATCGCGCGCCGACGCAGTGCACGACTCGAGCACATGGCCAGCTTCCGCCACGATGCAATCAAGAGCTCTAGACAACATGTACTATATGTGATATTCCTCATTGGCCGACTAGTGTAGCAGTGTCGGGCTGCTCTACACTCAGCAAATGTCCCGAGCATCCACACCATGCCACCAGTACTGCCAGGCTTGTTTGAAGGCGCTAGAGGTAGCGAGTCCACAGGCTAGATGATAGCAACGAATCCCGTAGTATGTTTAACTAGTCTAGACTACAGTTTCATTTTGTCTGCCGGTGGGATCTGGCTGGCATGCCACGGATGCTACCCAAGCGGCCCTCTGAGCGATGGAAGCGCGATGAGACCAGCACCAAGAGCGTACGCCACGTCCTCTACATAGCCTTGTCAATTCATACATCGTACTTGGCGG